GCCGAGAAGTCATTGAATCGGACTAAACCATGAACATATTATTTTTTTGCCTTTTGTTTCATAATTAATTTTATTTATATAACCCTTTTGCTGGTTTTTAAAGTGTTACATAAACAGGACAGGTGAAATATGATCATGTAAAGCAACCATAAACACATGAAAAGACCTAGGTTTACAATTTATGATTAAAACTCTACTATCTACACAATATACATAAACATAAAATGTAAAAACTTAAATATCTTAGAAACAGTAGCTAATAAGTTGTTTTAATTGTCATATTTGAATTCAGCACATCAAAATACATAATAAATAGCATATTTTATTTCTGAAGCAGACGACTTCTCAAAAATTGTAGACCAAAGTAATGGCTGTATGGTACCTGGAGTCTTGGATAGGCACTTCTGCAAAGTTGAATAAGCATCACAGTTTCAGCCTTCTAATGATTTGTGTTCCCTTTTTCTGGTCTGATGCAATATTTAGAACTATTATTCTAACACTGAATTAGTTCGGACCCACAGTTTGACCTGTGTTTAAAACTCCTGCAGCTGACAATTTCTTCTGTTTCAAATATCTTGAGAAACGACCATTACTGAGAAATACATGTAACTCTTGGAAAAAATTAGTCATTCTCCTCTGCTGGCTGAAGAGAAACAGTTAAGTCAAAAAGCCTGTGTACAGAAATGTGTGGACAGTGTCATGGAAGTTGGTATACAAAGGACTGTTCTTATTTTAGTTCCACTACAAATGTTTGGTGAGAGAGAATTTCCATTTTCAAACTTCTAGGTGGATATTACAAATAATGGGATTAAATTATTTATTTATTGTTTTACTGAAAATAGGTGTCTGAGGCTTGTTTGCAAAGTAGCTTTTCATCTTTGGAACCCTATCTGGGTATTATACATTATTGATCACTCTGATCATCTGTGTGCATGAGTTCTGAATTTGATTTACAATTTGAATGTAAATAAATTGGGCAAATCCATACAAATCCCTAGTAGATTATTGTTAACATTAGAAAACTACCACATAATTTGGCACACTTTAGTCTTGATTTTCCCATGCAGAGAACAGAATGGTCAGGGTGTTACATAGCTGGTGAAGAGTCGGGTGCATTGGGGATACTCTGTGTGCGGGGTAATGTTGACTGTATAAGAGGGTGTCTAGTGAAACTGGAGGTCTGAAAGTTGTTCATAGTCTTGGTAGCTCTATTTCTTCTTAATTGTTTCAATTGTTTAATTCTTTTCCTTTGATTTACTGATTACTTTTTTTTCTCCCTTTACTTTTAGGCCCTATGAGAGAAAGGGAAAGCTAAGGATGCTGGAGCAGAACAATGGATTTCTCTTTCTCTTTCATGCAAGGGATCATGGGAAACACAATTCAGCAACCACCTCAGCTCATTGACTCAGCCAACATCCGCCAGGAGGATGCCTTTGATGCCAGCAGTGACATCGCTGAAGATGGTGGTCAGACACCATATGAAACTGCCCTGCAGCAAGGCTTTCAGTACCCTACTCCAACGACAGAGGATCTTCCACCGATCACTAATGGCTATCCACCAACAATCAATATGTATGAACCTCAAGCCAAATACCAGACATACAGTCAGTATCCCAATGGTTCAGCCAATGGCTTTGGTGCAGTTAGAAACTTTAGTCCCCCAGAGTATTACCAAATGGAAAACTCTAACGTGAGGCCTCATGAAGTTCTGGAAAAACCTTCCCCTCCACAACACCCACCGCCACCACCTCCTTCAGTACCACAAACGGTGATTCCAAAGAAGACTGGTTCACCAGAAATCAAATTAAAAATAACCAAAACTATCCAGAATGGCAGGGAATTGTTCGAGTCCTCTCTGTGTGGGGACCTTCTGAATGAAGTGCAGGCAAGTGAGTATGCTAAGATGAAACACGAAGGGAGAAAGGAGAAAAGGAAAAAAAGTAGCAAGCATGACTCTTCCCGATCGGAAGAACGCAAGTCATACAAAATTCCAAAACTAGAACCAGAGGAACAAAGTGTAAGTGGAATAACAGTTTCATCTTTTTGTGATTATTAATAGGGAATTCCTTCTTTGCAGCTTTATATTTCTTATTAGTTGTTTATGTACTTAAAAGGCATTGTGAGGCTGTAGTTCACTGTCTGACACACTATGCAGTGATCAGAATTGTTTAGCAAGTGTCCACTACAGCTCAGATGCAAAGCTTATGTATCAGAGAGGAATAGTGGAAAGAATTATGAGTAGTAGTATTTAGATTGCAGTAGTGCTCAAACTTGGGTGCTTTCCAAACACAGAAGAAGACGCAGTCCCTGCCCATCAAGGTGTACTGTCGAAAGATTCATGAATTCTTTTTTTCAAAATGTGATTTACTGTGGTTTTGTGGTATTTGAAGTATTCATCGTTAGCATTCATAGAAACTTAGTGGAAATGTTACTTATTTCTAAGAGGCACCTAAAAACATGTTATAACTATCTAAGTATACTGCTTTCTATACAACACTTAAACCACATGCTTTAACTGACAGTTGCCATTGAAATCAATTTTAATAAATATGGTGGATTGTCTGACACTAAATAAGTGAAGAGGTGGCTGTATCTTGTGCACGTACTAGCAAAAATTAGTGTACCAGTGTGGCATGCAAATTAGAAATGTCAGTTGACTGTCAGCCCACAGTGATTGAGAGAATTCTGTATCAGTGTCCATAATGCTTTTTGCTAGGTGCAGGAGATGCCAAGATTTCATTTTGCAATATGTATGTGTACACTGCACAGAAATAATAGTATTGTAAGTTAACCCCTAGTACACTGAGGACAAGTGTGCTGGTTTTCAGTACCTGCAGCCTTTCTCTGCCTCCACGCTCAATAAAATGAGCCTCCCCACGAACACTTGGACTTCTATCTCCACCCTTAAGGGCACACAGTGTGCATGACAACATGACCACTTTCCAACTAATTTTCCTGCCGGCCATGTGCTGCTGTTGTCCTTTTCTTATTTTTTCCTAGTTTGAGAGTGGCTGTCAGAAGAGAGAAGGTGAGACATGTCAGGAATATGGGAATTGTCAAACTGCAGGTGTTTTTTGCACCTTCTTATGAAGCATCTGGTACTGGCAGCTGTTGAAGACTCTGTTCTCTGGTCTAGTATGGCAATTTCCATGTCCTTGACATGTCCCCATCTCTTTCCATCATCGTAAGCAGGCTGGTTTGGCCCCATCATATCACGGTCATTTCTGTGTTTTATAATAGTTTTATATAGCTGTAGGTTGCATAGGATGGGGACTTCTGAAGAAGTGGAGTCAGAGGCAGTCAGGGCCTCTCAGCAGCCAGAAAGCCTTCCTTTTCAATACAGTCCCCCACAAGACTCCAGTCCTCAAGTAACTCCTGTATCTAGTCTAAAGGGCATTGTTTTAACACTTTTGGTTGTGTTTCAGGGTACGTCTACACTTACCTCCGGGTCTGGCGGCAGGCAGTTGATGTTCTGGGATCGATTTATCGCGTCTGGTTTAGACGCGATAAATCGATCCCGGAAGTGCTCGCCGTCGATGCCGGTACTCCAGCTCGGCGAGAGGAGTACGCGGCATCGACGGGGGAACCTCCCTGCCGCGTCTGGACCCACGGTAAGTTCGGACTAAGGTACTTACGTAGCTGAATTTGCGTACCTTAGTCCGAAGTCGGGGGTTAGTGGGGACCAGGCCTCAGTAGTGCATTTTCAGTGACTGTTTCCTTTCTGCAGCAGAAAAGATGGCTTTAGACCCTCGAATGTGGGCTTTTCCCAAAGACAGGTCTCCCATGCAGTGGTTCATAGGCTTAACCATCAACCCAGAGCCTTGAGTGTTACCTTATGTTTGCACTTCTGGCAAATGAGAACTGCAGTAGGTCCATTTTGACTAAATTTAAAAACAGTGTTTAGTCCTGTAAAGTCTTGTGTGTGAAATGTTTTTAGCTGCCAATGTAAACTATATTTCAAAGCTTATATTTATTTGTCTTTATTTTCTTATTTGTTGTTGATTATATCTTCTGGAGGTTACTTATCAATTAAGGTTTTGAACTTCTGCCAGATTTGATCCATGTAGTTGTCACTAATGAAGCTCAGTATGACTTTAATGAGTGACTAATGCTAGTGTGAACTTGGAACAAGCTGTCTAACAGAATATAGTTACTTGGATTGTTTGTGTGTGTTTCTCTTGCTTTTGGAGATCTGTTGTATTTAAGCCACTTTTGGTGCTGGTGGAAGGTGTCTGGCTGACAAACCATTAGCCAAAAAATAGGGGAAAAGTTAGTCTTCATGGCAGTTTATTTAATCCTTGGTGCCTTTGCTGAAACTGCCAGTTTGGGTGGCTTCACACAGTTGCTATACCGGCTCTGCCTCTGCATGCTGCTGTGCCTCAGTTTCCCTTCTTAGATCAAATGCTGCACAACTGTGTTTTAAATGAAATCAAACCACCTTTAATCTGGTTTGTTAAAACATAATTCAGCAAAGTATTCACCCTTGTATCTGGGCTTCCTTTCTTGCCCTTTCCCTAGCATTGACAGTCACCTTCGCATCAGGCCTCAATCAATGTTGTATCCTAGGTTTGCCGTGCTTCCATAGCAGGGCCTCTCTTGAATCTTGCTTCTGTCCCAGTTTTCTCTGTGTGGGGAACTTTGTTGATCCAGGCCTGCTGCCTGGCAACCATGAAGAGCATCTTCCCAGGTATCCCCCAGACTGAACCAAAATCTTTGCCTTATGTAATCCCACAGGCAGTCCTAGTTCGCAGTCACTTGATCCTCCTTCAGTCATGTGCTCTATCTGGCAGCTAAAATTCACCAAACTCTTGGAGTCTGGTTTTAAAGGTGCTATATCCCTATAATGGATATATGGGGTTGCACCTGCACTCAAAGGATTATTGACCTGCAAGAGGTGGTAACTAGTGTAGTATAGAACTTCGTCTACCAGGAACTGGAATTATTTTAAATTTGTCCCCTTTCTATCTTATGCTTCCTTTTCAAGGGCAGGGCCAGCTCCAGGCACCAGCTTGTCAAGCAGGTGCTTGGGGTGGCCGCTCCGAAGAGGGGCGGCACGTCCAGCTATTCAGCGGTAATTCGGTGGACGGTCCCTCACTCTGGCTCGGAGCAAAGGACCTCCCGTCGAATTGCCGCCGCAGATCACAATCGCGGCTGCTTGGGGCGGCCAAAACCCTGGAGCCGGCCCTGTTCAAGGGACACTGTCAAGCTAAAGTTTTTTAAAAGTTAATATCAGTGTTTCAAATAACACCTCCAAATACTGAAAATTTGAATTAATTTTTAAAAGTTTACTTTTTGCTTTTTATTCAGTATGGGCAGTGAAACAAGAGTGATTTGTAGTCATTTACTTCCTGCTTCTAATGTAGAAATCCATTGCAACGCAAACTCTTCAGGGGAATGTTTACGTTTAAAATAAAATTAATATGGAATTAAAACTTTATCAAAATGAAAACATTGAACTTTATGCTTTTGTTTTGTTTAAAAACAAATTTTGAGTCTAAAGTCAAACAACTGGTTAGAATTTGCTTCTAGGAAATTAAGTGAGAAGTATGCAATCTTTTGTTCGGACTATCTTTTGTGTGACTAGCTCAATTGTTTGGGCAGAAATAATTTGTCAGCTCATTGTAGTAGAAATCACAGGCAGAAGATGTAGGTATATTTGCCATTAACAGGTTGGTGTAGCAAGGAAGAATTTGTAGATTATGGGTATTTGTCTAACCTCAACCAAATAATCTATAGAGAATAACACTTGTGTGCCACTTTAAAACTAAATACCAACATTTCTATGTATCTAAAGTAACACATGTTGAGAGCTCTAATTGGCGTGTACTAGACAGTGTGTTTTAAGTGAACATTTTTTAAACGTTTGTGTGAAGCACACATTTATGATTATCATGGGGCTAATGTGTAATTTCAAGGGAACAGATCTTCATTTTAAGTGGACTAATTATAATCTAGCTGAATGGTACATTAGAGTTTCTGACTGAATGCTTTGTCACGCGCACCCTTCCCACGTATGTCCACTGCCTTTCCCTTTGAGTGGCTCCATTGACTGCTGCTTTTCCACCATATTAAACACAAGCTTTGGGTCCTTACACTTAGCAGCTAGGTTGTGAAGGGCCTTATCTACTTACCTGTTGTTACATCATGTGCCTTATCCTATCTACTCCTCTGGCAATGCTAGTTCCTATTGAACCTTTATCTCCTTTTCCCACAAGCACATAATACTTTCCTCCATGCTATTCCTTAAGCATGGAATGCCTCTCCTCCTCATATTAACCTGTAAAGCCACTATCCTGTTCTCTTTCAGATCCTTCCTACAAACCTGCCTATGCTATAATGTCTAAAGTGAACTGCCAACTAATGTCATTCATGTTTCTTGAGGTTTTTTAAATCAATAAATAACTCTAATACTGCAGTTTATTAATATAACCAATTCACAGTGTATAACTGTATGTTGCTCTGTTTCTTTTCCTCCCTTCCTTATTTCCTCTGAGTTGTATCGCACTTTAGATTGTAGGCTCTGTGGGACAATGACTTCTTTATTGTAAATTGTACAGCACCTGGCACAGTGAGACCCTGATCTCGTTGGGTGCTGCTATAATGAAAATATATTAAGTAGTGTGGGAGAGATGAGTATTTTAAAACTAAACATAGGTCAGTCATAAGGAGTTTGTCATGTTTTCTGATTTTATGATGGTGTTTTTTCCCTCTCTGCTAACTATTTTCTCCTGCTCCTATTCTCTTTGGTGTGTTCTTCTGTTTTACCATCCCCCTTATCCTGTTTACTTTTATTTTCCTGGTCTCTCCTTATTGTTACCCTTTTCTTAGAGACCAAATGAGAGGCTTAGTGTGCTATCAGAAAGACCAAGAGAAGATATACTGTTGGAGGAAACCCCGGTTAGTACTTATATAAATTAACAAATCTTGGACTCTTAGTATTATAGAAATTGTCTTGTTGTCTCATTACAGCATGAACATTTTATAGCTTATTATCCGATAAATCAATCACTGTTATTGGAAATGGCTATATAATTATTATTGTGGCCAGTGCTCCCCTAGTGGTATATGAAGACAGAATAAAGCAACACAAAAATGACATTTGTAATTGGTTTACTAAGTAGAAACTTTCTGTGGGGATATCTCCCCTTCAGAATGTCTTGATTATCAATCATTGCTCATCCTCAGTGAACCATGCAATTGGAGTCTGAGTGTCCCCTGTTGTCATGGTTGCATTTGACCATCAGTGCCAGCTGAAAGAAGAAAGAGGAAAAACTAAATTGATGAAGAAATACATTTTTTTTTAAATCCAAACCAAAACACCTTATGAATCATTGTGCATTAGTGAGTTGTATTAAATTGCTTTCTTCTGCAGCTGATATGTCCGTTTTCTTCTTTATAGGTCCAGCAGTTCTCACCTTCTCTTCCAACGCAAGTTACAACAGACGTCAAGTTTCAGGTTGGCGATCTAGTCTGGTCCAAGGTGGGAACTTATCCTTGGTGGCCCTGCATGGTTTCAAGTGATCCACAGCTTGAGGTTCATACCAAAATTAATACAAGAGGTAAAGAAGGAGAACCATTGAGCGGACGTGTTAGATACTGTATCAGTAATTGCTCCTTAATTAAAAATAGTGCTATAAAATACAACTGACAACGTATGCCAATTGGGAGAGGGCTCCCAGAGTGAAGTTAGCAATGATGACCAAAAAACTAACTTTATTTACTCTGTGTGACACAAACAGATCACTTCTGTTGTGGTTCACCTAGTGCAATTAAGAAATACAAAATTTTCTTGATTTTTGTTTATAAATATATTCAACAGTTCATTTAAAAAAAAACATCAGAGGAAAGTACGCAACTGAGTAAATGATTAATTTTGATTTATCTTTTATTCCTAATATTTGTTTTAGAACAAATATACATGTGCTCATATAAAAACAATAACCGATGAAGATATTTTGGAGTGAATTTAAAGAAAAACAAGTTGTCCACTAAGTGGCATTTTTGGGGGTAATTGACATCTGGATATTTTGAGAATTAAATTTTGAATGATTAGGAAAAAAAAAACAAGATTGCCATAGCTACTTCATTGATCTGGCTTAGCTTCCCCTGGTCCCATCTGGAAGATCTGGCCCTTATGGACTTCCAAATGGGGATAAGCATTCAGCCTGTTAAATAGGAAAACTTCAGTCGCACATAACATTGCATGATTCTTAGGTTAGCAATATGAATAAATAAATGTATGTATGCTCTCAAACCGTGTGTGTTTACTTAGTTTAGAGAGATATTCTGCCACTTTAACTCTTGTTGAGTTAGTATCCTTACAAGTAGTCCTACTGATATCAGTGATACTGCTCAGTGTGAGGACCAGGTGCTGCCACCCTTAGACTGTAATCTGAAGACAGGGACAACGCCTCTTTACTTTCTAAAGTGTTCTGCAAAGTTGTTAGAATACATAAATTTGCAACTTCAATTTCTCATAGAAAGTTAGTTTTGTTGAATGTTTCTATTTAACAGAGGTGAGTTCCAAGCAAATTCAAAAACTAGATGGCTAGGATGTCAGAGTAGGCCCCCCACCAATTGACTTAGTAGCCCTTGTTTAGCTTCTAGTCTAACTGCATAATCTTATTTATGCACTTTTATAAAACCATATCCGATGTATAAGAAATGGAGCTGCATGCATTTTACTTTCTAGCTTCTATAGAGCTAAGGAGAACTTTGTGTCTGCAAGAATTGAATGAGTGGAGTGGAGTAAGAATGGCCAATATATCCAAGTAAACATATGAACTGACTTCTGTTGATAGTACGGCTTACTAGAGTGTGTTTTAATTTCAGGTGCCCGTGAATACCATGTTCAGTTTTTTAGCAACCAGCCTGAGAGGGCATGGGTGCATGAGAAGCGCGTTCGAGAGTATAAAGGACATAAACAGTATGAACAATTATTGGCAGAAGCTACTAAGCAAGCCAGCAATCACTCTGAGAAACAGAAGGTATGTTGAGCACTAAATTCAGAATATGTTATCCACAATGTCTATCAAAGTAAAACCTAAACTTACAAAGGGGACCCATAGTGAAACCTATTGTAGACTGGTGCATATTTGAATGTTGGAAAAATAAAGTACTGTGTGCATTCTACCTGTGACTAAGTAATCATTCTTTACAAAGATAGTTAAATGTTTCCACGTGTCCTTTTGTCCTCGTTATGGATAAGCTGTTATCTGAGCTTGTTTTATTCCCTTTCAATCAGTAACTTTCATGGCTGTAGTGCTTTTCTGGGCACTTAGTTTGTGTATGTGTGTAACTTCAGAATAAATATTAGATCACTAATTTTCAGTGTTTCCGTTATTAATATATTCCTTAGAAAGCAGTGCACATTTTAAATAGCAATGTTTATGTTCTCATCAGTATCCCATACATTTCTGATGTTATGTAGATTCTGCTTATTAGCAGTCCCTCAGTTGCCAGCAAAAAGTTGCTATTATCCGATAATTGCTAATAAGTGGAAGGCAGGTTTGCAAGGCAGCAGCCAGGGAAGGAAATGCTGGGAGGTGACTTCCCTGGCTGCACCCGGCAAACCTGCCTGCAGGGAGAATAGCAGCAGTGAAAGGGGCTGCAGCCCTGATGCGGGAGCTTTCTGCAGAGAGTGGGGGTGTTGGGGCCCATGAAGCTGCACAGTACCTCTTCCTGTGCTCTTCCCTGGGTTGGGTCTCAGAATGTACCAGTGCGGCCCCCTGGCAGGGATCCTGGAGAAGGCAGGGAGAGGTACCGTGCAGCTCCGACATCTGAGCTGCAGCCCCCTCCCTGCTATTGCCATGCCCACAGCCTCTCCTCTCTGTCTGCTGCCCCTTCCTATGTGGTCCCTGTGTGCATTCAGTTTTGCTGGGCTGCAGCCCCAGAAGGAAACACTGGGACATGCTGAGCACTGGCTGCAGGCAGGTTTGTGAGACTGCAGCCAGAGGAGGCATGTACTAGCACTTCCTCTCCTGGCTGCAGCCTCACAAACGTGCCAGCAGAGGGTGCTCCGCACATCCTGGCGTTTCCTTGTACGGGTGTAGCCTTACAAACATGCCTGCAGATGGTTCCTTTCTTCCAATATTTTTTGTTAATAAGCGGCATGTTGTTGCTAATATCCAAATCCTATCAACATTGATGTTAATGAGATGGGATTTGTTTCCCAGCCGTATGTTGCCATTAACCGGAAGTTGCTAATACCAGAATTGCCCTTAAGCAAAATCTACTGTATTTGTTTAATTGAGAAGGGAACTATTGGCCAGACCACCAGACTTATCACTGTATTTTGGTGGGCTTCTTAAGTAGATATTTAAGTTAACTAAAAGTAGTAATGAACAGGGCATGGGAGGTTTAGAGGAAGAAACAGGATTAAAATAAGTGGGTGAATTGGATTATTTTCTGGTTCACGTATCTACAGAATTGTGGATTAAACTTTGCCTTCCATTGTCTTTAGTGGGGTTACTCAGAGCAGAATCTAATTCACAACTTTCATTGGTGATGGTGAAGTATGGCCTAGTAAGAATCCAGTTTGACTGTCAATTCCAGTGTGAGTTTGCAGGCCTCGTGGTGGTCCCCAGAAATATCTTGTAAACTGAAAAAACAGTCACCTTTAGTCTGAGATAAATCAGGTACTTTGGAATGGCTTACATAGGGTCATTTTGAAGAGCAGGACCACATTTTAAACTAGTTTATTTTAATTGAACATTTATTTTAATGTAGCCAGGAAGCTAAATAAATAAATGTAATAGAGTTCTCTTTTTGTCTTTGTTTTAAAGATTCGTAAGCCAAGGCCACAAAGAGAGCGTGCTCAGTGGGATATTGGTATTGCCCATGCCGAGAAAGCATTGAAAATGACGCGGGAAGAAAGGATAGAACAGTATACCTTCATTTATATAGACAAGGAGCCAGAGGAGGCTTTGTCCAAAGCCAAAAAGACTGCTGCCCCTAAATCAGAGGCTAAAAAGAACCGTCGGCCTAAGCCAGCATTGAACGCTCAGCCAGAACAGACCAATGTGGTATCGGCATCCCCCTCATTATCAAATACTGAGGTGCGAAGGCAAAGTCAAAGGAGGCAGTCAAGTGTGGAAGAAGAGGAGCCACCGCCTGTGAAAATAGCCTGGAAAACAGCTGCAGCCAGGAAATCCTTACCAGCTTCAATAACCATGCATAAAGGGAGTTTGGATCTTCAGAAATGTAACATGTCTCCAGTTGTTAAAATTGAACAAGTTTTTGCCCTACAGAATGCTGCTGGGGATGGAAAATTCATCGATCAGTTTGTTTACTCTACCAAGGTACACACTTACTAGTTACCAACTCCTTTGCCTGTAAATAACACCCACACCCACGATATTTAGTATGGGGCTCAAACTTAAGTGTCCACCAACTTTCAAAATGTGATGGTCCATGCAGGTGCTTTTATTGGATACTACATTAAATCTGTCAGGCCCTGCTTTTAATCAGCAGCCCCTATAAATAGAAACCTCTTAAAACTTTACTAGCTACAAGGGCTAGTACAACCAACAGTCTGTGTTTTTTGTTGTTGTTTGTTTTTTGTTTTTTTAAGAAAGGGGGGATGGAGGGTTACTCTTTGGTTTTAGTGACAGAAGTTTCTACAAAACCATCAAGCTATTGCTGAGAACTTTTGAAATCAATAGCTACAACAAGCCACTTGTTTAATTCTAGTTTCCCACTTTAAATCAGAATTGACCTCCTCAGCCCTTCTGGGTTAAATTGGATCTACAACTTTGGTGCCTGTTTGCAACAGGTGAGATTACAAGATGGTGCGTAAATAGTGAGTTAAAAGCAAAAAACTAAATAATCCTGTGTGGTAAAGACATTTTTAAAAATAGCTTTTACCTTTTTAGTCTCATGCAGATTATCAGCAACCCCCCAGTCAGTGTAAGTAGCAGTACTGGGGCTAATTGGCTGCCTTACTCTTTTGCCCTGTCTTCCTTGAGGACATTTATGTACTTTTAAATTTATATAATGGAGCCCTTATTATACATTAGGAATACCTACAACAACAAAAAACCCACTAGTGCTGTTTAGTGAGAGACTGGTGCATGTAGTATATTTGTGAGAGGGGAAAATTGGAGACTGTCTTTGGCAGTTTCCTTCACTGTTTCTAAATTGCTCTCCCTCATGGTAATGCTCAACATTGTGGCTTGCATTCCAAGTTGTAAGTGATTTCCTAATAGACTTTGTGGTTATTGAATTAATTTGCATGGTAGTCTGATCAGGTAATCACTAACTTTATTCGTGTTCTTTAAAAGGGAGTTGGTAACAAAACTGAAATAAGTGTCAAGGGACAAGACAAGCTTATTTCTACATCAAACCAGAAAAATGAGAGAGCCACTGCGCAAAATGCATCCTCACCCGAAACAACTTCTGGGTCAACAGGTAGGCAAAGGTTGGGACTCCTTGACTAAATCTTAACAAATGAGCATTTAAACAGGCTGCAAAAGTCAGGGTTCCCTCAGGAATTAGAAAATCATTATAAACATATTTCTCTTTACATAATTATTGCAGCGAGTGTGGCACATGTAATCCGCAATGGGTGCAGTTACTTGGAGGGGTGATCTTTATGGCTGTAAGAATTTAAGTGATGGGTGAACTGCCCTTAGCTAAGCCAGTTAGAATCTTGGACTTGAGGGAAGGATGCTTGGCCAGTCTGAAACAAGTCAGTGTATCTATAGGATGGCTATGATGGAGAAAAGATAGGGAACAATGGGTAATGTAATAGTTCACTGAGTTGGGAGGCAGTAAAATGGTTCTGTGTTAGCAAACCATTACAATGGCTTTTGGCATCAAATTTCAAAAGTAGCAATTAGGACCAAAGCAAATGAGACCAAAATCAGCATAGTTTTGTAGTTAAAGCCAGGCTTTATGAATCAGGAGTAAATTCTATTCCCAACTTTACTGTTTTCTTGTGTGACCTTGTACAAGATAATTAATGTCTCAGTGCTTCAATTAATCCCCTTGGTAAAATGGGATAATGCTTACCTTTCTGAAGCACTTTGAGCACTATCTTATTAGGCACTGTGTACGTGTAAAGTATTGTGTCTTTAAGAGAGAAGAGTGTGAAGCAATCCAGAGTATCTAGAGGCTTAGAATAGGAAATTGAAGGCCTAAGGCAAATTCTCTGAAGAAACTGAACTTAATAACATGCAGGGAGAGAAGAGTGAGAATTTAAATTGAATGAGTAACTTTTTCTTCTTGGAGAAGAAAAGCAATGACTTATTGATGCTATGGGTTTGGCTCTTCTTTCAGAGGGGACGGGCTAATCCCAGCAGAAAGTCTCTGGGAGAAAATTGATAAGACATACTCTCGAAAGAGGTAGGGTGGAAGATGATGGGGGAGAGAAACAACTTCAATCATTCTAAACTGAACTCCATTTTTAAGTCCTTCCTCCTATTGTAGTGGTTTTAGTATTTCAGCCAAACGGTCTTTATCTTTGATGTGGAAAACACATCGGAGATATTATGTGTTTGGACATATGTTTGTAATCCTAGTATAGATATTGTAGACTGTGGAGAACACCTAGTTTAATAATGAATATGTAAAAATTAAGTTTGGGATGGGATCAGAGTGCATTCATTTTAATACTCAACAGCAGGATGAACAGTTGTCTTCAGTCTGGAACCAGAAAAGGGGGGTATTTGATTCAGCTTAGGTGCCATAAAACTGACTACTCTTTCTAATAGATTTTTTTTATCTTGTAACATTATTCAATGTCACCCTCGCTTTAGTTACATAGCTGTGCAGAGGACCTGGTCTTAGTGTAGTTAGCTCTTTTTTCAAAACAAAAAAATAAAACTAAAAACATCAAAACAAAAAAAACCTCACACCATTCTGCATATATTGGAACACTCTTCCCAGCCCACACAGTTCAGCTCCTCGGCAAATATAATTCTTGTTATGTAGTGTTACTTTAAATCTGCTATCCCCTGGGTTTTCACAGCAGGCTGTGCCTGAGGACTTTCAAATGCAAGATGAGCACTTTGGATTTTTTTGACCCTGGTGTGAGCAAGATGGGGTTTCATCTGCTGTTGATGACAGAGTCATTGTCTCTCCAGTTTATAATTGCTATGATTCTGGCAGCTTTTTCCAAACTATTGCTACTTTGTTAATTGCCCAACAACAGAGGAGGTGCTCTCTGTTTTGTTTCCCTCCCCTGGAAACGAAGGGCATCACCTCCACAATTCGCAGTGGCTCTTAGGGCATAGGGAGGGTGAGAATTCTGAGCCTCTTTTTTTTCGTTTTCTCAGGTTTTTTGGATACGTAAAACATCACCTGATAACACCCCATACAGTGCATGAGCATTACTTCAGTATACACTCCAAACAGTCACTTTCAAAGCCATTTCCAAAGTCCAGACAATTATTGGTCCCCTCTCATGGAACATAACTGGAAGTCCTTTTTTCAAATTTAAGGTCACCGGAACTTCAGAATACCTTTACGGTAAAGTATTTTACAGAATGACTCTGGGAGCCCTGATGGATAAGCCACAGTGAGATGTGCAGAATTCCATAATACTGGGGAAAATCTATTTCTGTAACCTGGAATCTGATAAGAGAACTACCTTGAGGATTCTGTTTAAAGGGGAGACTGGAGGTATAAATGGAAACAAAACTGACCCAATGACTTGGTAGTTAGTGAGGTGCACTGCTGGTTATAAACCAGCCTGAACCTAGCTCTTGTTCATAAATTGCACAGAAGTGGGATAAGAGTCTTGTGGAGGTGATGCGCTGAACCTTTGGGGAATGGGGAATAAGGAGTGCATATTGCACTACTTGAGCATACCACTAGCATCCAATGCGAAGTGGCATTGGTCTCCAATGGCACTATCTTCTCTGATACAGGTCTTCCATCACAACATAACTCCTTCTGCTGTGTTGAGCATAGAGAAGAAAGAAGAAAACTGATTAGTTGAACTTTCCTAGTCAGATTTGTCCAAAATTAGTGAACCCTTTCCATGGATAGTACAAGGCATGCCTGCTGAACATAGAGGTGACACAGGAGGGGCTGCAGATCAGGTGCCTTGGGCCAATCAGAGCAACTTTAATACACAGTAAAATTTGAGGTATACTCTTGCCTTCTAAATCCCAATATGGGAACATTCTCTAGGACCCAAAAGTTAAATTACTTCAAACCTGAGGGGCACTAAGATTCTCCACCAAAACATGTAACGTTCTAAAATGTGTCCCTTTAAAAATAAAATCTTTAAAACCATTTGTATTTGCCATTTGATCCTATCAACTTCCATTGCACCAATTTAAATGCACAATTTTCTAAATAACGAGAAAGCAAGGTTAAGAATAGATAATCCTGAGTAATTGCACATCACATGAAACCTCACTAAATAAATATTAATCTAAGTGCATAAGGGAAAGGTGAAGTTCCATGCTTCTAGAGTCCTCTGGAACAATTTCCAGCCTTTGGTTACAGCCTACCTCTTTTTCTAGATATATACCATAATATCAATGGAAGCAACACACACTTATGGCCTCCAACATGAATCCTCTTAACAGAATACAAAAAATTCCAGATTGGCATTTTTTTATTCTTCTAAATAATAATCATTTTTAAAAATAAAAAAAATATATTTAATTTCTATCCTGGTAGGTCAAAAACACCTGATGCTGAAAAACAAGACTGTAACTCATGCTAAAATAGAATTTTTGAATTTTGGACTTTTCTGTCAGCCTTACACCTTTAATTGTGTGCTTTGTTTCAAGAATTGCACATTGCACAAATTCTGTGCAGATGTTCCTCAACAGGAGCAGTGTTGTAACACAGAATATTCCTTTGCCCTTGCCATATTTTTTTTTTTTAAAGTAGTCTGTGTTCTGGTGTCTTCAAGTATCCTAATCACCCTTATTAATCTGAGCTTGCTTTCCAGGGCATAAATTTAAGAAACATAGTCGTTCGTTTTTGTCTGCTAAAATAGCATCCTGTCCATTGACCACCATTTGTTTTCAATTTTTTTCTCAGCATCCTGAAATCTTTATCTAAAGTTGTCAATTTTTTTATTTATTGCAATTATGGTAGCCTAGCTTTTGACTAAACTTGTACTAATATCTAGAATTCTGATATTTGATAAATCAGTTTATCCACCTGGCCATAAAGTCAAAGGCCCCGAGAACCACGTTTTGGAGAGTGAAAGTTTGGAATCTAAGTTCTGAATCTGTGCAATACCTAGACATTTTAGGTAATGAGGTTTTCAGAGTTATGGATGCCTTCCAAAAAAAGCGAAAGACAAACTAGTTAATTAGAAAATGATCAGACTGGAGGCTCTGAAAGTAACATGCTATGACAAATTGTCACCCTATTCCAAACATGTGGATTCCAGCCTTTCCCTTCACCTTTTATTGGTGTCTTTTCTGAACCCAGGCCTCTCTCCATTAGATGTATTGTGTGCAATCAGGGCTCCAGCTGGCAAAAAAAAAAAACCTTTGAACTGACTGTTTTTAAAAAGTCTGTTAAATATCAAAAAAGCAAAAAAAGTTTTGCTTTCATTACTACAGCCATTGACTTAGTACTGAACATATCAGACTAAGCTGAAATAGAAGGAATCATGTAATAGAATCCTTTCCTTCCTCAGGTTCTGTAGAAAAGAAGCAACAGAGAAGATCGATTCGAACCCGCTCAGAGTCTGAGAAATCCACTGAAGTTGTGCCAAAGAAGAAGATCAAAAAGGAGCAGGTTGGCTTCCTCCATGTAGAGAGTTAAAATATATTTTGTATTCATAAATGTTGTGGCTTATATTGGTGCCTTTTTATTTTTCTCCATTTTGCCCATCGAGTTTCCTTTTTGGACTATCCTTCATGAAATCCCCCTGTCAGTACCATTATTGCTGTGACTCTGCTACTGGCATCTTCACAGTATCAGTTCAGGCTTTGGATAATGGGAACTCAATGATGCAAGACTTCTAATGAACCTGATATGTTAACTTTGAGATTTCTGTTGTGAGCAAAATGATTTTATGTTTTAATAATATCTATTTGATGGAATTGCCACCAGGTTCCTTCCTCTTCTTACTCTTGGTTTAGCTGCTGGTTTGTATTGAGGTTTTGTTTTTCAAAGTTTCTGATTTATTTGATCACTTTTGAAAATGGACTCTTAAGAATGATCTATTTTAAAGATGAATAATCTGACTTTTATGTTGGCAGACATAAACAAAAAAACAGATCTTAGATTTTTTTTCCCTCTCCCTTAAGTAGAACTAACATGTACAGGGGCACTCTTTTAATCTGAATGCCAGACAGACAAATGTTGTTGCTTTATTTAAAAAAAAAAGTTCTGAGTGGAGATGAGTAGGCAAGTTGAGCGGGTGACATACTTAAATATTTAACCAATACACTTATTTAACAAGTTCGTCAGAGTTGTTGGTTCTTTTCCTTACTATCAAATTTTCCCTATTTAAACCCTAAGGGCACCCATCCTTGAAACCTGAGACTTTTGTATAACAAATGTTTAATATCGGTTTTTCCAATGGGCTTTTTTAAAAAGGGACACAGGTTAAAGTTTTTTTTAAAATTCATTAGAGTAAAATGGATATTTTAAAAAACCCTAATTTATTCTTTGCCCGTTACACTTTATTTTATTTTATTGCACTTCAATCATCTTAAAGGATGAAAATAGGCCTTGTCTATTTTATTTTTTTTAAGTTTCATATTTTGGTTCTGATGCACTAGTATGGCACTTCGGTTGCCAAAGCGACAGAAGAAATTTTAACTCTAAAAATTTTTGTCACTGAAACTTTTTTTTTTAAAAGGCAACCTAAATGTTGGATGTAAAATAGCTGACACATAGGCCCTTTAACTTCTTGATGTGAGAAGTTGTGATTTCCCTATTTTTAAATAAATCCTTTTGCATTTACAAATTCTCCTTAATTTAACAAAGGTATAAGAACCAACAATAGGAACATTGTGGTTCCAGGTTAGCTTTGCTTGCTTATACTATGTAGCTAACTAAGGCAACATAGTACATTAAATTGCTTTTCTCAGGCAAAGTATGTGACTAAAACGTAATAAAATAATCAAAGATGCACTGTAATGCACAGAACTTTGAATGTATTAAATTATATTCAAAATAAGTCTTACTAACTTCTTACAATTATGCAACAATATTTGTTACCCAAAGTCAAGTTTTCTTGCGACTGATTCCCAAATTCAATCTGCGACCGCTTGGTTTAAATTTATAACTGGAATGAATACAAATGGGAAAAACAAAATGTTAATGCTACTGTTACAGTGAGAAATAGAGAAATACAAGTGATTGTTTAGATTTTATATTTGTATTACGAACTGTATCCTATATAAATCCTTCTATTGTATGTTTTTACCTATTGTACAACAAAATAAAATATTTTTTAAAAAAAATTAGATTAATCCTTAAATATTTACTAAATGTGTTTCTATATGCTTTGTTAACCACATTGCAAAGAAATAAAAGCCTGCAATTCTTAGCCTAAAACCAGGACCTTAGGAAACAACTTTCTTCCTTTAATTATGCTTTTTATCACCAAATTCTCGCATGTATTACATGTATATTGGCAGAAAAATTTCTAATTTCATCCTTCTGATGTAGGACCAAGAACATGATGTGCTTTTGGAAGATCACAAACTTGTCTACTTAAGTTTGTACTGACATGAGTTTCCAGCTGTATAGAGCTCTGCAATGCTCTATATGGAGTCCTCATCCCCACCTTTATGGGCCTTGCAGCACTCTATACAGAGAGAGAAGGTCCATATCCCCAGAAGCTCAAGAGTGCATGCTTGATGGAAGTGCCTTAAAACGGCAATACATTAAGTGTCTCACTAACCTGAGTGTCAGACCTGTATAAGTACAAGTTTACCTTAACAGGTGTGGGGTTTTACAACAGCATCAGGATTGGCTACAGGAATGAACACCTCTCCTGCCTGCTGGACATGGATAAAGTTTTCCTGTTGTCGTCAAGTACAAAGGGAGTGATTGGAAAAGAACCTTGCTATTGAACATATGGCTGCCTTATCACCTGGTATTCAGCCTAGGCAGCTAGGATTAAATCCCAGCAGGACAGAAGGCTTACACTGAGAAGGCGACTGCCAGACTACATCTGAGTTCAGATATGCTAATCACTTAAACTTGGATGTTTTTCTTTTTTATACTAGGGGAAAAAATTCCTCTGTTAACTATAGATTTTCCTGTCCAAACAGGTAGAAATGGTTCCACAGACAGCAGTGAAGACTGGATTACAGAAAGGTGAGTTTGGCTGAATAACAACAAACGTTCATTATAAGTACCCCATTTACAGGCCATTCATTATATTTCACTGATGGCTTTCAGTCTATGTGAACTGCAAGTAATTCCCAGATGTTTGTTAGTGACTCCATTGTATTGATCTAGCTTTGTTCCTCTGAGCTATAGCCTTCTTTTTGTAATAATAGTTGGGAGAATAGAGTGTATGCTTGGTCTGCTTTAATGTTTTCACTGCATGATTCTTATACAAATATATATGAGGGTGTCTGAACATAGGCATATTTATAAGATAAGTGATGTGGTGTTACCTGTTGGGGTTTATCCCTACCTAAGGCCTTGGCTACACTTGCGAGTTACAGCACAATAAAGGAGCCCCGGGTGCCCTAGCTCATTCCCTGTCCACACTGGCAAGGCACGTAGAGCGCTCTGACTCCGCAGCTACAGCACTGCTGGTACTCCACCTCGGTGAGTGGAATAACGTTTGCTGCGCCCCCACTGGAGCACCGTGGCGCCAGTGTGAACGAGGTGTTGCGTTACTGCGCTCTGATCAGCCTCCAGAAACATCTCATAATCTGCTTAAGTCAAGTGGCCACTCTTGTCATTGTTGTGAAATCGGCTGCAGGAATGCGGAAATGTCCTTTCAAAGCTCTGTTTTGGAGAAGCTGGCTGCTTATCAGCTCCGAGAAAAAGCTGTTTGCTTTGAGTGAGTGAGAGAGAGGCGGGGGGAGGGGGGTCTGAACTTACAAGACAGCATGCTGACACACTCTCAGCACCCCAAAAACCCACTCTCTCTCCCCCCACATACACACCTCCACCGCACCCCACCTCCACCCCATTTGAAAAGCATGTTGCAGTCACTTGTATGCTGGGATAGCTGTCCATAATGCACCGCTCCCAATGCCGCTGCAAGTGCTGCAAATGTGGCCATGCCAGTGTGCTTGAAGCTGTCAATGTGGACAGACTGCAGCGCTTTCCCTATTGCGCTCTACGAAGGTGGGTTTAACTCACACCGCTCTACATCTGCAAATGTAGCCGTGCCCTAAATGGTGATAGTTCAGTAGGTTGTGCCAATACATGAGCTATCCAGCAGTTTGACAAAAGGTTTTGTTTTGTTTAATGGCATTTGAATGCTATTGGCTGAATTACTTTTTACCCTGGAGCACTGAAATGTTTAGTGGCAAAGTTCTGAACTTAAAATTCTTAGAGTAAGTGAGATGCTTGTAAAGTCCTGCCTTGTGGCTTCATCTTTCATGTCTCTGTCATTTTTCTCCATGTGATTTAAAAAGAAAATGAAAACAATATTTTAGGATTAATGTCAGTGTCTTGTGTTAAGGTGCCAGCGAGATTTCAGATTCTTGTAAACCTCTAAAGAAAAGGAGTCGTGCCTCAACTGATGTAGAACTGACTAGTTCAGCATACAGAGACACATCTGACTCTGATTCAAGAGGACTTAATGATCTGCAGGTAAATGTGTGGTATTTGTGCACATTTATACATTTCAGTATGTTTGACAGAAAAGTGGCATTATTGATGGCTGCAGTTTTGAATAAAGAGGAACTCAATAGTCCAATTCAAATAACTGAATTGTTTTGCTCTTTAAAAAGTCTGATTGAATGTTATGGCAATGGTGAGAAAAATATTTTAGTGGTCAGTTGTGGGGGACATAGGCATCTTGGTGTATATTTTCCCAGGCTGGTCCAGTGCTGAAAAAGGATCTCTATTAAATGGGCAGTAAATTGTTTGTCACTATATATTGAGGTCCACAAGCTTTCAGATAACTTTCAAATGGTCTTTTAATCTATACTAACTGCATTTTTCTTTTAATCAGTGCTGTTTTAATATTTTTCCATTCCATAGTTAGCCTTTTAAAGTCGCTTATTTAGAAATGGTTGTGGATTGATTTCTTTATAGGGTAGCTTTGGAAAACATTCAGACAGCCCATCAGCTACTGCAGATGCTGATGCTTCTGATGTACAATCAGTAGACTCTAGCTTATCAAGAAGAGGCACCGGAACAAATAAGAAGGATACTGTTTGTCAGGTAGGTGGAAAGTGCATGGTATTATTATAAACAAATATATGCTAAAGATGTGCTGGCTGCTTCTGATTTTAATCTGGAAACTCTTTTTAAATTACACTATTGTATTTTGACCAAATCTCATAATTTGACATTGAACATCCTGAAAAATGATGGAATGACCCAGGCCTTGTAGCTTTAATGCTCCAGAGGTGATTTTTTTTTCCCCATTACAAAAAAAATGGAAATGGCATTCTGCAGGTTAATAAGCCTGAGTCCATAGACAATACAATACAAACTGTACTGGGTAATATCACCAGGCAAGCAAGTTGCTCTGTTCTGCCCTATTTGAAGATTCCAGACGGTCTTTCAGAGTAAGACAAAATGAGAGTATTACAGTCGTCTACATAAGACATAGGCCTGGCTAACTGGCAAGGTCTGCATCAGAGGGAGAATGTTGCAATTGTCTTGCCAATTGCTTGAGATTTTATATATATATGGCTGGGAGGGGAAAGCATGTTTGGCAGCCACTGCTGCATGCGGCAGTGGCTAAGAGAAGCCTGAAAGCACCACAAAATAACCTTGCTAAGCTGATGCAAAAAGGATGGCTGCACCTTGTTAGAGGGAACACATTCAATGACTGCTGAAGGCTTCCAGTGGCCTTACTGTTGCTAGTTATGGCAGTGGCTTCAGCCAACTCTCCTGCCTTGTTCAGAAACCAGGAAGCTGTAGTGTCATAGTATGAAGAGATTTTCAACTGGTTAATTTCCCTTGCTTTGGTTCTGTTAGTCACTTGAATTTAAACATCCGTCAACAGCTTCGTTCTCTAACTAGCTGTTTGCTTGTTTAAGATCTGTGAAAGCTCTGGTGAGTCTCTGGTGTCATGCGAAGCAGAGTGCTGTAGAGTCTTCCATATGGAATGCCTAGGACTGAAATCAATACCTGATGGGAAGTTCATCTGCATGGAGTGTAAAAATGGTAAATGCATTACTGTGCTTGAGTGATGGGGAAAAATCTTGGTTTAGGAGCCTGATGGATTACAGTGATTGGAAGACGCTTCAATAATCATATGCTGGGCTGAACAAACTGAGGCAGAGATGTTCTATAGTAAATAAAGTTCAGTGCTAAGTTCCTTCCCTCTCCACTTAGCAAGTACTTTTAAAAGGAAACTTAGTAATTCAGTGATAGGGCTATGTCTTCCTGTTTGTTCATCCTGCACCCAGTACAATGGGGCTCTCGTCCTGATTGGGGCCTTAATAAAAGTGCAGTAGTAATAATCTGTTATTTTATAGTGAGGGGGGGTATTCTGCTTACACTGGTGGAATTGCGTTAACTTCAGAGTTTTTCCTCCTCTGCCAAATTTTTCTCTCCGGAAATAACTGATAGCATTCATGCTGAGGTTTGTTTTATTCCTTTTCTTAAAAGGACAGCACACATGCTTTTCCTGCAAGCTTCCTGGTAAAGATGTGAAGCGCTGTTCAGTCAATGCTTGTGGTAAATTTTATCATGAAGCCTGTGTTCGTAAATTTGCCACTGCAGTCTTCGAGTCACGAGGATTCCGTTGCCCGCAGCATTGCTGTACTGCCTGCTCAATGGATAAGGATATCCACAAAGCAAGTAAAGGTGAGAGCACAACTGGATTTGGATAGTAGCAGGAAACTGTAAAATACCTGACATTGAGACATGTAGCAGAAAATGAAGATGATGGTGATACTTTACACTCATAATGTGATACAGTATGGAGGGATGGGACATAAATTTATTATGAATGGATTCATTATCAGTTTGGTCATTAATACAGAGGGTTCGCTGTGAAACAGGTCAGTCTTGTTGGGGTAATGTGAAACAGCCAACATCGTGAGAAGTAGTGCTAAGGACACCTGGAATAGCTTCTGTGTCATTTGGACTTATTTGGCTGTTGGATTTCTGGAGCTTGCTGTAAGTTAAAGGTCAGATGTACAAAGCTGAAGTACTCTTTTAGACAGATAGCAATGGACTGTAGAACAGAAGTTCTGTTCCAAAGAGGTCCTTTCCTTTAGAAGTGAACTAAAATGGTCAAGCAAACCAAGCAGTTTTAGAGTAGTTAGAGCCAAACGGGTCTTGTCTTCACTTGGAAGCTCTGCATCCAACATTAGAGTTAACAGAGTGAAACAGCATGTTGCTTTTTTGAAGACATTAATGTCTAATAGCCTGGTTAGACTAAAACCAAACTTGTATCACAGTCTGTGATGTCTTCTGCCCTATCCTAATTCCACTGTGACATGGTGCATTTTTCTGCATTTATATTAAACAGGACGCATGGTGAGATGTTTGAGATGTCCAGTTGCCTATCACTCAGGAGATGGCTGTATTGCTGCAGGAAGCTTGTTTGTGTCATCTCACATTCTCATCTGTAGCAACCATTCCAAAAGGAATCACTCTTCATCAGCTGTAAATGTAGGCTTTTGTTTCGTTTGTGCAAGAGGTGAGCACTACTTTTTTCCCCCCTTCAGTTTATATGTCTGGTGTGGTCATTACTACAGTTACATGATAAACCTGGGATATTTTACACAATTATTTTTTTCTCTTGGGGCTCTCCATTGGCTTCAAAGCTTTCTCTTTGACTGCTGGGATAGTACACATGATATTCATTTATTTCTCATGCTAGAGTTTTTGAATACAATTTTGTTCGGGTGTGTTCAGTGTTCAGACACAATTTTGAAGCACTGAGAAGGCATACTGTGCTGCCAGTTGAGAAGAAAGTGGATGTTGAGTCCCCAGTTCCAGCAGTTTCAAGTTAAATCAGTAAACATTGATTCTCTGTCACTTCAGTAAGAGGAGTTGCTTTCACCCTCTATAAATTGAAAATAATGGAGCATCTTTTAGGTGGGTGGATGGGGTTTGCTCATAAGCTAGAAAATGCCTGTTTTGACATCCCACTCCCACTTGAGTAATTTTTTTTTTTTTTTGGAAAACTATTACAGGAATTACCACCTAAATCAGTTAAAATCTAATTACAGTAAAAATATAGTTTTCCATATGCTGCAGCTATTATTTTTCCCTGCCTTTATTTATTTATTTATTAATTTTTTGGGGGGGGGGGAAGCCCCAGAAGTCTGTCAGTCACTTTATTTATTTTAACTTCTGCCAGAAGGTAGGACTAAATATTGCAGTGCTTTATTTTACTTTGGTCAAAAAGCCCAGTGCAAAAATATCTCTACCATGTTCTTTTTGGGGTGTGAAATTTAGATGCATAGAGTTTTGTGTGTAATTTTGTGTGTGTGTGTGTGTATATATATAAATATTTAAAAACGTCATACGTAATACTTCAAAAAGTTCACACTGAATGCATCATGTCTTTCAACAGTTTGACAGTCAGTAGTAAAGGAGTGTAAATATATGGTGAATCCTGAATCCGCTTGATTGTATTCAGCTTATGCAATTAGAGGCCTAGTTTGTGTGGTAAAGATGGTTTTGTATGAGCAAGAGCAGATTACTAGATACAGGATCTAGAGAAAAGGAAAGAGAGGCGTCTCAGAGTTGGATTTTTTTCCTGGTTCTAATTACAGTACAGGAAATGGAGCTGTCACAGAGGTTCCAAGGTAAAACAAAGTTCTTTCCTTTTTAAATACATCTAATTTTTTCCAGAGAAATGGCGTCCGGAGGTTCAGAGGGAAACAGTAAGTCTTAGACTGCTGAGCCTGGGAGGGGCTCTTGAAGTGTGTGAAACAGTGTTTGCAACGTGGTTCAGTGCTTTTCCTTTAACGAGCCTGTTTCAGTGCTTTGGGGCATTTCTAAAAGGAAATATGCAAAGTGAATCACGCTGGTGTTGCGTAACCATACACACATGCAGACAAACTTATGGATGTTGCATGTATCTTTATTCTTTTATTGCTGAGTTGTAGATATTTGTATAGGTATTTTGTCCTACTTTAAGTTTTGTTTTGATTCTGACTTCATTATCATGTGTACAAGTGCACAATCTAAAAACAAAAATCCTATTTTCAGATCTCTGAATTATAACTAGCAAAACCCATTTGTATATGTGAATAGAACCACTCATATAGGTACTTTGTTTTAAACATTAATTTGAACACTATGTCAAACAAATCTCACTCATTTCATATTAATATTCTAGCTAACAATTATGTCCAGGTGCCCGGGAAAAATTGCTTGTCTTCTCTCTTTTCAGCATAGAATTAGTAAAGTTCTTAAAAGGATTCTACTGTAAGCAGAGCAGAGATATGTAAAACCAAACTGTCCAGAGCTTCAGGATTTATGCTAGTTGTGTGGAAACACTTTTAGTTTGGTCTCAGATGCAGGAGCATATAGCCTACTCATGAAGAATCAGCTGAGAATTGGTGACTGAATCATTGTTGGTTGATGAGAGATCAGATTAGAAATCCCTCTTTAAAAGGGCCAGCAGTGGCCTCAGCCTGATGCTATAAAGACTTACATGAGGGATTCCATACTCTGGGACACTGCCTCTTCACCTACTGTTGTTGTGGCTTTTTCAATGATGGGACAGATCATAGGGCTATATCCATTGTTTGGAACAAGTTTACTTACGTGAGTGAGTTTAGATATTGATAGTCTCAGTTTATGAAAGGCTGTGGTTGTAATGAGAACGGAGTTTAATTCCATGATAGGCTCTAACTCTACATCTGCTCTAGAAATGTTAGTGTGTTTGTAATATTACAATATACCAAACAGCATTTTTATGTTACAATATCAGGATAATTAGCTATCCAGTAGCATGCGGTATTTGTTTCTGTGAAGGACCACAACATATATGGAACTGGCTCCTGAAAGTTGAGTATCTCTCTGCTCTTGTGTTCTACACCTTCTCTCCCATCTCTTGATAAACTTGTAAAACTTTGTCAGAAATGTATTCATCTCTGTTTATGAAAATGAAGCTCTCCAGGATTATTTTTTAAGGTGCTGACCATGTGCTCAGCACTATACAAATACAAAGTAAAGACAGTCACTGGGTCTGTTAGGTAAGTCCCCTACAGGTGGGAAGTTTCATGCATGCATTTGGCATCCATCAAGAGTCAGTGGGAGACATGCACAGCTGAAAGCAGAATTTGGTACTAGGCTTCCAAATCTGAATATTGATTGCCTAGTAGCATGAAAATGGGTTTCTTCTTATTCTTATTGTGATTGCACCAGAGAATGGAGTTGCAGATCTGGCATTTCTGTCACTATCTAAAGTAAGTTATGTAAGTTACAGACAAAGTATTTTTTTTTCTGTCACCAGTTTGTTTTGACAGTTGCATGATTTATATACGTTTCACATCTAATTTATGATCTGAATTGAACTACTTAGAAGCCCTGTGACTGGAACGTGAACTGTACATAAGGGTGCACCTCCTTATAGTAATAGAAATAATCTTTCAGCACCATGCAGATGGAAATTAAAATACATTGGCACTCCTGTGTATCAGTATGTCTATTGAAAATTTAAAAAAATACAAAATAACTGTCCACTAAATGAAACCGCTTTGTATTATGGTAGGGATATGGCAACTCTTGGAGAATATTTGATATAGATTTGTTTTTGTTCAGGATAACTGACATTGGGAGGCATTGTGCTCTGCCAGTGGAAAGATTGAGGTGCAAGGCGCACCTTCATCAACCCATTCAGCAGTATTGCTGGCTCAAAATGGATTTCCCTCCAGTCACCTTTGATCAGGATGGTGGCATGGAGTAGGAAGTGGTGAAATTCTCTGGGTGGTGGTGGGCGCACTGTGAGAATCCCTTGTGAGGAAGAAATCAGGAATTAAATGTCCTCCAAATGTTCTGTTACTTATTGCACGTGCAAACAGTGATACCTATCACTTAACATGCTAAATAGTATTAGGAAGAGAGAGTTGTGTATTTAGACCCAATGCAGTCATAAGAAGTGGGAAAATCAAAACACTAGCAGAATATATCTAAAACTTATCTAGTAGCTACATGTAGCCAGGGCCTGGTGTACTCCTCAGCAGTGGGACCAAATGAGGCACCTGTATTAGTCTATTTTATCACCATGGAAATACCCTTCATTCCCAATCCCCTCTGCCCCACACAAGCACTTCTATGGCTCATAGTGGAAATACTCATGTAACTTGAAATTTGTTGATTATTTTTGAGAATGAGGGTTGGTTTTTTTTGCTATGCTACCCCAGTGGCTCCATTCCCCTTGCATCAGCTCCTGCAATATTGTCTAGGCAGCCCAGTTCAGAATCTCCTCACCCTGGCAGGGAGGAACTTGTAGCTGGCTTCAGCACTTCATCTTCCCAGGCCTTAACTGCTTTGCTGTTGGAGAGCAGGGAGCAAATGCAGGGAGACAGAAAACAAAATGTCAAGTGATTGATAGTGGCAAAATTCCATAGCCGTGGAAATGCAGAGTTCATGGAGCTTTTCTTGAGATAAGTAGGGCAAGCCACACCTTACAGCTATTGTTTCGGGTGCCTTGCAGACTCACTGTGTGTTGACTCACGTTTGGCACACATCTTTTGGGGTTTTCTCCGCAACTGTAAGGGCAAGAAACACAATGTAAAAATTTTAAAAAATTAAAGGTGAGATCCTGGAGCCCAAGTCTGTGGCAAGCGGTGAGTTCCATGGCTGTGGAATTATTGAACATATGGGGACTTGCATATACCATCTGTATTTCTCCAATTTATAGCCCCTACTGCCAGTACTGTGTTTGATGCAGTGAAATAGTTGCGCTATTTTGTAATTTGGCTGGCTGTTTTCTTTTGGGGGCAGGATGGCTCATAGGGAATTAGCAGCAGGTACTTTTCTGGTGCTTTTTCATTTATTTATTTTTTAAGTGTGCAAGTTAAAACTACTGCACAAGTAAAATTTCATTTAGAAATGGTTTTTGTTTACTCTTCAGTTTTCCTTACACTCAGATTCAGTCTGTCTGACACATAACCTCTTCCTTTAGTAGATATAGAAACCTTTTCTGTCACACTTTTCTTTTTCTTCATATTATCTTTTCTTTCAAACTTATAACATATATATGCATAATAGATATTGATTTGATTTATTTTATTTTCTCCTTTATGGAATCATGGGTAGTTTCATTGCAACTCATCTCTTTCTGTTTGTTTCATATAGGGCTGGTAGTGCAGGATCATTCAGACCCCCTGTTCAGTTCATATGCCTATAAGTCCCACTACCTACTGAATGAATCAAATCGTGCTGAGTTGATGAAATTACCTATGATTCCTCCTCCTTCGTCAGCTTCCAAAAAGAAATGTGAGAAAGGTAACCAAATAGTTTCTTTCTCTTCAGTTTACTTTCGCTTTTCCTGTTTTTCTTTTCTTTTTTAAATCAAACAAAAAATGTTTGCTTGTTGAGCACCACCTGTTGCTTTTAGTAAATTTCACTCATTGATTATTGTGAGTGTGTGTTCATGTTGTTGGCAAAAGATTTATTACAATAAAAGGGCTTAAAATAATTAATATCAATAAATTCTCCCTCTCCACAAAAGGTTAAATCATGTATCTGCCACTAGGTAGTCTCCATAAAATTGGAATAATCTACATAATAACAACACTAAGGGGGGGAGGTGAATAAAGTTTTAGTATTGTTGTAGTTCAGTGCCAGCTCAATGACTATTAAAACGTCTTAAATTGCTTATCTGAGGAAGTCTATTTTGGAGCCTGCTTAGAGCCTGCAACAGTCAGAATAGAGAATTTATCCGTTTGAATGTTTGTTGGTATATTGGCATTCCAGAGGAAGACCAAAGACTTAGGAAGGCAGATGGCTTTTTGCCTGTGCGTTTTTGTTACTTCCAGAGGCCTTGTATTTCATTTCTGTTAGTGCGGGCCAACTGATGCTCCTTTCTCTCCTCATGTGACTGACTGCTCACTTCCTGGAACAATGCTTCTTATTGGAGTGGCAGAAAGTGCTGCATCTTGAGCAAACAGGGATTCTGCCCTGTCAAGAAAGGCAGGCAGGTGGGCAGTTACAATAGTATTAGGACAGAAGCTTTTTCAGGCATAAAAATTGATTGTTTTACGCTGGTAATGCTATTGCTTTAAAAGGAATTTATGGAAACAGATCCAGCTGTATATGTCTGTAAGATTCAGAGATCATACTCTCTCCCCACAAAAATTTGATTTCCCAAAGGGTGTTCAGAAATTGTTCCCAGTCAGTCATTTTAAAATTAGATCATTGCTAGATGTAGATAGCTTTTACTTTGTGTAACTTCTGACCACAAAAATTATTTTGAGCCCTCTGTATGCTTAGCTTGAGCAATATCTTACTAATGCATCCTAAGAGCAAAGTTTTCTTGCTTAGCTCTGAGAGTTTTGTTTTTTATTTTTGTTTGGTTTTCGCATCTCTTGGCATTTTACCGTGTTGGATATTGTTTCAGTAATTTATGCTGGGTCTGTATTTCCTCTGAAACACTTACAAAAATTCATTAAAAAATGAACACTTGATCATCGGGGGGGAGCTCAGGAAAGTCCAAATGCTTGGATTTTATTACATTTTTAGCAGAGGAAATATAGTAAGTGATTTTGTCACTGATTGTTTAAGGAATGCTTTTTGCAATATATTACAATCAAATCAATGGCCGTTTTGAAAGTCTATAGGTGGACAAGATTTTCTGATGAATATTTGAAAGTAAAAATTCAAACTTCAGATATGATGACGATTGCTTAAAATGCTGTTTTAAATCTCTCCCAGTCTTTTTACGCTGGGACTAAAAAGTTCATTACATTTCTATCTAGATTGTAGCAAATGTGTTTATTGTATGAGCTTCTTTGTGTATTGCCAATGGTTTAGATGTGCCGTGACTGCCCACAATAAACACATCTGCTAGAAAACAAGCCAACCAAAAAACTTTTTTTGTCTAAATTTTTTTTTAAAAGTAATGTTTACCACATTCTTAGATCAGATTCCCTTTGTGTTCAAAGGGAACTCTGGGGGAGGAGGAAATCTTTCTGTAATATCTCATTCTGCATTATATAAGTAAATTTATAGTGCTCACACTGGTAAATCTTCATTTTGAAGAGTATGCACAGATTTATAATTACAATTCTAATGTTTTTTTCTCTTGTACCTTTGAAAGCAGAAAAACATTGATCAACCTATAGGCTGATTTTTATGCACACTAACTGATTGCTAAGGGATTTAGTCATGACAATGTTGGTTTAAAAAGTATTTTAAAAAAGTGCAAAATTTGTCTAATTGTCAAGAAAAGGTGTTGGCCACTGCCAGACCATCTGGATTAAAAAAAAAAATGCCATACAGTTATCAAGACTGTTTCTCTTAGGGGGATCTGAAGTAATGCCAACTTGCCCGATTTAACCTACATTTTTTAAATTCATTGGCTTTCTTGTTCCAATTTGTGATGCAGTCAGGAATTATGATTTCACTTAAAGAGAAGAGACGTATATAATACAAAAAATACTTATTTTTAATCCAGCATTGTAACTTTGACTTGATCACTTCCTTTTGCCATATATTTGGTGTGAGGCAAATCCAAGTTTAATGCATTTAATTAAATAATATTTAAAAAAAAAAAAAACCTACTCACAAGCCTCAAACCCTTATTTCTGTAAAATGAGTGAGTTTTTGTTTCAAGGTGGGAAGTTATTGTGCTGCGAGTCCTGTCCAGCGTCCTTCCACCCTGAATGTCTCAACATAGAGATGCCAGAAGGATGTTGGAATTGCAATGACTGTAAAGCTGGCAAGAAACTACGTTACAAGCAGATCGTTTGGGTCAAGCTTGGAAATTACAGGCAAGTTCACTGACTACAACTGGAAACTGTTTTAAGTTTTTGTTTTAGGTTAAGTTTTTACTATTTCCTGTAGCTATGCAGGTAAACAACCAGAGCAGCCCATGGTGTCAGATGTTGTATAGCTTTTTAATTAAATTCTACTCATGCATTTTTAGGCATTAAGGTGAATACTTACTCACGTTCTATCTGTGGGTTCCCTAAATGTGCCCTGCAGATGGGGAAGATCAGGAAATACCTAGGGCATCAAAACTCCCTAGTTTGCTTTTATGTTTAGAGATCATTCATAAAAGGCGTCTGCAGGAATGCAGATGGTTGTTGATCCTCTCTCTTGCAAGTCCCCACCTGTGTCTCCGAATAAATGTGATCAATAAAATGCTGCAAGTCTAACACGTGGTGGTGGAGGTGATAAAAAGTCCTCTATTTCCCAAGACCAGGAAGGCTGGGAGGTTGCCATGGGTTTTCATCTCAGATACACTTTTTGCTGCCTCTGTGGCTTTCTGCCTCTTATGTAGATCTGGCTATAGAACACCTCCAAAAAACAAGTATATCAGACAGCCTGTGGCACTGCACTTTCAAGTTGTCCATGGAGGACTTTTTAAAAATCCCATTTTTTTATTGTAAGGGACAATCTTGCTTTTAATTTTTATTTCCAGACTTCCCCTGATACAAATCAGTGAAATGTGTCCAAGACTAACTACAGTATTGTACAGTCAATTAAAGGCCTGTCTCTTGCTACAGATGCTCAGAGCATAGGGCTATCTTTCCAATAATAGTTGAATTTACGAACCCCCTTCCCTATCTGAGATTTTGTAGACATAGTGTCATATTCACCATTTGAATCTTCAGATCTCCAGTTCTGGCTCTTCCTAGAATCAACCCAAAAGGGGTCCAAGTTCCTCAGAGGTTGAAAATGTTGGAATATATGCTTCAGGTTGCTGACATGCACATTAAATATCTGTATATAATAATTTATTTTTAAACAATGTGTGGAGTCTTATCTTTCCTAGTTACCTTTAAGTTCAACACATTATTATTTTAGGCTAGGTTGGCTACACATGTTCAGCAGGATAAACTTAAAACTAGAAATGCATCCATGTCATTGGTTATTTAAATATGATCTTGTGATTAAACCTTGGCTTCAGTGGACAAATGGAGCATAAGAAAATGAGACTAAGGCCTGGTCTATACTACCCGCCTGAATCGGCGGGTAGAAATCGACCTCTCGGGGATCGATTTATCG